ACTCTGACGTGGATGACAAATGCCGAGTTTCTTTCTGTCAAGTGGAAGGCCTTCATGGAACTACTTGGAGTGGAAGATCACGGGCTTGAGACTCTAGTCGGTTTCCGCCCTCACTGCAACGCAACCTCCACTCACAAGCAAGCTCTCTGGCCCTATTGTTCTGTGAAGATTCACCTCGAGACTAAGAAGCAAACCTATGAGCTGCCTGCTTTTCTAGACATCCTTCACTGTGTCTTTCGAGAGACTCTCTTCCCTCGCATCGGGAATCTGGATATGGTCCACTCCTATCTTGTGGACATGCTCCTCTTCTGTCAACACGAGAAGGAAGAGAACACTGGCGAGTCCCTGGACATTTCTCATGTTATGTGGTCTGAACTTCTATCTGTTGTCTCTGAGCGCAAGTGCCCGATCTATGGACCGTTCATCATGTTATTTATTGAGAAGGCCTGGGCGCGTGTTTATCCCAGGGCCTTGCTGGAAACTGGAGAGTTGGTCTCTCATGAGATCAAGCGTCTGAGGAAGAAGGACAACTAGGGCACCCCGGCCCCTAAAGCTGGGGGTTCCCCTTCCGCTGCTGCCATGGAGACCGAGGACGACGCTGATGCTGATGATGACACTGACTATGAGCCTTCTGGAGCAGAGCCTTCTTGGGCAAAGAAGCTCAAGCTCCAGATGAAGAAGCTTTTCTGCATTGAGTCTCATGGTCAGTACATGACTCATGTGGCTGAGAAGAAGGCCAGGAGACGTCACAAGGAGCTCATGCGTCAGTTGGGTGCGACGGTTAACAGTGGTTCTGAGGGTCAGATAACTGAGGAGGAGTGGATTCAGCAGCACTACCCGTGGTCAGATTCTGACACCGAGTAGTTTCCAACCGATGACGGTGGTGCAGACGATCCCGCTGGGATATGATGGTCGAGATCCTCGCTTGCTATCACCTGGTGCCGTAGCAACACTCTTTCCCTTTTTTGGTGTCTCGATGCCAAAGGGAGAGAGAGTTTAGGGATTTGTGTCGTTGTTTGTTTTGTGAGTGTGTCTTTGTGGTGTCGTTGTGTTTTCTCGCCGTTTGCTTTGTTTGGTTTTGTGCCAGTGAGACCTAAGTTCCAGTCATATGGTGTGAGACATATGCTACATTATCTTTATATTATCATTATCTATGTCTATCTAGTACTTTGATATCTTATGAGTTGCATGCTTATCCTGTTATATTCCTTCTCTCATATATCCTGCTTAGGTTGTTGGTCTCTAAAATATAGGGGGAGTGTTGATCCTAGTATGTGTGCCGTGCAGTCCAAAGCACCTTATCTAGAAAGCACATATCTAGGGGGAGCCCGTCTATATTTTAGAGTTGTGGGGTTTGCTTATGTCCTATGTCTTTTCCCGTATGTGCAAATCTCGTATTGTCATCAATCCACCAAAAAGGGGGAGATTGTAAGGGCATATTTATCCCTAAGGAGTTTTGGTGATTGATGACAATGCTTTTGCGGACTAATTGTGTGCGTTGAGTTTTCAGAGATTCATCCTTTGGCACGAGACGATTCCCTCCCCTCGGAGCGTTATTCAAGACGGTGCAGCTCTTTCGTTTCTATGTTGGTGGACTAGTTTCGTAGGAGTCACCATACTATAAAGAGGGGGTCCGCTTTGGTAAGGTTAGGGTGGAATCAACACTTACACATCTTTGTCACACCCTCTGAGCCTTTCCGCTTCAATGGAGTGCTCCTTCCCCTTCTTTGGAGCTTCGCTTGGTCCCAACAGTAGTACCGCGGGCCACAGCGGTAGTACCGCTCAAGTGCATCAAGCAGCAGTACCGCTCCTCAGCAGTAGTAATGCTTGGGGCCCTCAGCCGTAGTACCGCTGCGGCTCCGTGCCCCTACCGCCTCGACTCGAGGGCTCGTTTTTCGTGTCGAGTTTTGCGGTACTAGTTGCGGTTGTGGAGGCGGTAGTACCGCCCCTACCACCGCGGTAGTACCGCTCTGGGTCCAGGTTCTCCCTTCGCTCTTCGCTCCCCTCTTGCGCGGTAGTACCGCGAGGTGGAACGGTAGTACCGCTGGTCTCAGCGGTAGTACCACCCTCCCCAGTGGTAGTACCGCTCTCTGCAGGGCAGCTTTGGGGGGTAACGGTTGGTTTGTTCCCCCCACTATATAAGGGGGTCTTCTTCCCCAAAGTTGACCTACCTCTTCCCCCAAAAGCTCTATTGTTGCTCCAAGCTCCATTTTCGCCTGATCTCTCTCCCTAGCCAATCAAACATGTTGATTTGCTCGGGAGTGGTTGAGAAGGCCCAGATCTACATTTCCACCAAGAGAAATTTGATTCCCCCCACTAATCCCTAGCGGATTTTGTTACTCTTGGGTGTTTGAGCACCCTAGACGGTTGAGGTCACCGCGGAGCCATAGTCCATTGTGGTAAAGCTTCGTGGTGTCGTTGGGAGCCTCCAATTAAGTTGTGGAGATTGCCCCAACCTTGTTTGTAAAGGTTTGGTCACCGCCTTTAAGGGCACCAATAGTGGAATCACGGCATCTCGCATTGTGCGAGGGCGTGAGGAGATTACGGTGGCCCTAGTGGCTTCTTGGGGAGTGTTGTGCCTCCACACCGCTCTAACGGAGACATACTTCCCCTCAAAAGGAAGGAACTTCGGTAACACATCCTCGTCTCCACCGGCTCCACTCTTGGTTACCTCGTGCCTTTACTTGTGCAAGCTTATTTGTGTTGTATCCCTTGCTTGCTTATGTGCTAGTTGTTGTTGCACGATATAGGTTGCTCACCTAGTTGCATATCTAGACAACCTACTTTGATGCAAAGTTTAATTTGGTAAAGAAAAATATAAAAAGTGTTAGTTGCCTATTCACCCCCGCTCTAGTCAACTATATCGATCCTTTCACAAACGAAGCAGCCGGACCTGGTACTTACCGCTGGGGGCGGGTTGGCCCGACTATAGGGCTCCTTGCCGATGTGCCACTCCTCCTCGCTGGGCTTGCAGTTAAAGAAGTAGTTGACATGGCAGGCCACCTTCACCCTCGGCATCTCCTTGGTGGACATCCGACAGGAATCCCGACGGCCGATCATCTGGCTGATGAGGTGCGACCGGAGTTGGAGGGGCGACACCCGGAGCATGACAAAGCCAGGTAGCAGGTCGGCCGGCTTGAGCCCCTCCTGGCTCGTCATCTCTTCCAGTCAGGCGAGGACGCTGACGATATGGGCCGACAGGCGCTTGGGCGGCTGCTGTTGCTAGTTGCCGCGTGGCCCAGCAGGCGGCCAGGGCACGAAGGCCGGCAGGTTGATATAGTCAACTTGACAACAAAGATTCCGGACGTAGAAGTACGATTTTTTCCAAAGTTTGGCCGACTCGTGCAGAGGGATAGACGGGAAGCGCGTGTCGCCTCCTGAGCGCCTTACGGCCATGCACGCCCCGCACTGGGCCGCTCCTCCTTCATCGACGTACCGAACTTGAGGTAGAACAACCTACCCCAGAGCACGATCGTCAGCAAGACGCCGAGGTATCCCTCGCTGAAGGTGACGAAGGCCGACATGTACACCACCGTGTTGGGGGTGAGGTGATGCGGTTGCAGCCGGTAGAAGTGGAGGAATTCCCGAAAGAAGCCGCTGGCCGGGAGCGCAAAACCACAAAGGAAGTGCGTACGGAAGACGATGTACTCACTGGGCTCCGCCCGCGGCGAGATCTCCGGCTCTGGGGGGTGCGCACGCCCACGTTGTCGGCGCGGGGAAGCCTCCGCGTCGCGCGGAAGAAGTTGATGCGGTCATCGTGGAGGTTGGAGCCCAACCATCCGCTCTTCGCCATGGCTCGGAGATGGCGAGGAGGAGCTCGGTGATGAAGACGACGGGCGGCGCAACGACAACGCGAGGCAGCAGAGCCGCAGCTGCTTCAACGGAGCAGTAGCCGCGTCGAGGCGGTGGCGATGAAAGGGTGGCGGCCGCAACAACGCTTCGGCAGCGGCGAAGCAGCGCAACGGCAGCGATGGCGAAGGGAAGAAGAGAGAGTGGGGAGGGGGGGCGCGTGCGTTCTGCCGCCCCTCCTCCGGGGCGTGGGATTAACTGCGCCCCACGCCCCGCACGCCCGCATATTCCGCACGGTTATGGCGCAATAAGTGCACCACGGAAGGGCAAACGCCCGCCTCGGCCGTAGCGGATCTGCGCGTGGGCCGAGGCCCAGTAGTGGCGGGCCCCAACCTGTGATGACGTCCTGTCACGCGCGTGGGCTGGCAGGCCGGCCTGGCCTGCAGGCACTGCGTGGCGCGCGTGTGGCGGGCGGCGCCTCCTCAACTCCCGCCTTGTCGATTTGAATTCCACCAGGCGGCCGCAGCCGCGACCGGCTCCTATCACCCGGCTCCTCCCATCCGGACGAAGCAGAAGACGGAGGATCTCTCGAAGGAGAAACTGCTGAGGCCCTTCGACTGCTAAAACCGTAGAACCTCACCAGCTTCGGTGACTACTGTCGGGAATAGACCCCGGGTAGCCTCATCTACACTTAACCATATTTCAAGACATCGGGGCAAGCCGCGCCCGTCAAGCCGACATGTCCCCAGTAAAAATCACGGTAAACACAGACGACAGTCACCTTATTACCCGGTGCGCATTCACATGATTTTGGTGACGCGGTCACCGAGGCCAGGGCGCGGCAGCCGAACCCGAACGTGCCGTTTTCACCCGTCGCACGAGCGGTCAGATCGGGACGGAAAACCACCCATCCATTGCCCCCGTGCCGCGCGTCCAGCGTGCCCTGTCGGCAGCCCGTCTTGAACACCTCACCCGGTGTCCCGGTCACCCCCAGTCCCAGTCCCACCGCCCAGCCACTCACCACCACGTGCACCCCGCGACTCCCACAGATCTCGCGTCCACCCCCACACGTCGCCGACGCGCTAATCGATCGCATCCCTCCCATCGCACCGCAGCATAAGCTCGCGCGCCCTTCTGGACTCCCAGGTCACACACCACTCCTTCCCCTCCCCTGATCTCCGCGCCGATCCCCCACCAGCGCAGCAGCAGCCATGGCGACCGCCTACAACCTCAGGTCCCGCGACGAGCCGGACGACTTCGACGAGTTCGACTCCACGCCCTACGGCGGCGGCTACGACCTCTTCGCCACCTTCGGCCGCCCGCTCCCGCCCTCCGACGAGACCTGCTACCCCTGCTCCGCCCCCTCCACCTCCTACGACGCGCCCCACTACGCCGCCGAGGAGCCCTCCCCCTACGCCCACCACCAGAAGCCCCAGCCCGCCTACGGCTTCCGCCCCCAGAACGAGCAGCAGCAGCAGCCCTCCTACGGCCGCGAGGATGACTCCGGCTACGGATCCAGGCCCAAGCCCAAGCCCCAGCCCGCATACGGCTTCCGCCCTCAGGCGGAGGAGCAGCGCCCGTCCTACGGCGGCGGCGGGGAGGACGACTCCGGCTACGGATCCAAGCCGCAGCCCGCCTACGGCTTCCGCCCCCAGCAGGAGGAGCAGCCGTCCTACGGCTCCGGCTACGGGTCCAAGCCCCAGCGCTCCGAGGAGGACACCTACGGATCTGGCTACGGCCGGAAGCCGCAGCAGGAGGAGCCCGCCTACGGGTCCGGGTACGGCTCCGGCTACGGGAGGAAGCCGCAGGCCGAGGAGAGCTACGGATCTGGGTACGGGAACACGACGCAGCCGGAGGAGGGCTACGGCTCCGGCTACGGGTCCAAGCCGCAGGTGGAGCAGACCTACGGCGGATCGGAGTACGGCTCTGGCTACGGAAGGAAGCCGCAGGTGGAGGAGAGCTATGGGTCGGGGTACGGAAGCAGGCCGCAGGGAGGGGGAGAGGAGTATGGTAGCGCTGGGTATGGTGGGAGGAAGACTGAGGAGGAGGGCTATGGTGGCTCTGGGTATGGATCTGGGAGGAAGGTGCAAGGGGAGGATGAAGGTGCGTACGGCTCTGGTGGGTACCAGAAGCCCAAGCCGTATGGAGAGGAGACCCAGGGTTCATATGGTGGTGGGTACGGCGGGGGAAACTATGGCCGCAAGAAGCAGGTGAGTTCCTGCCCGTTTCCGTTTACTGTTTTGAGCATATGATTTTGTTACAATTAACTTGTTTAGGCAATGGTCAAGGATCATGCAAGCAACTGCCCTCGTGGGTTTACTGTTTTGAGCTTATGCATTTTTTTGTGATTAACTTGTTTAGTGAGTGGTCAAGGAAAGGTTAGACGCTTATTACTTGTTGGCGTGGTCGCAATTGTGTCTTGCATCAGGTGGGAGATGATGGATACAACCATTTCTTGCCATTCAACTACATGTCGTTAGCTGACAACAGTTTATGGGTTTTGAAACGGGTTAGAGTTAGCATGCCAATGCACAATTTAGGACTCATGCTTTATTTGTTGGTCAAGAAATAAAAGAGTTGCTCGTATAGTAAATTTAAATGCTGGAAAGTGAAAAATGTTTTGCTGAATAGTACAGTTGTTATGCTAACATGAACGGTTCTGTTCTGTCGGTCCATTGAAATGCTTAGTGCACTGGGAATTTTTTCTTGTTCCCAGTACTCAATAAGCATGCTCACGTTTCTACTCAAAATTGAGTTAGTGTAATGTTACTTTTGAGTATTGACAACACTGATTGATTATATGTGGTGTTTCTTTTGATTATTTGACAGTAGTGATTCATCATTTACTTAAATACTGATATGGTTGCAAATTAGTCTGGTATATGCTATCGTTGTCTCCCAGAAGAATTTGTCAGAAATGTAGCTAAACAAATTAGTGAAAATCACACTAATGGTTATTCGTCTAAGATTGAACACCTGGCTTTAAGAATGCAATCTTATGACCCATACTCAACGCACATTTGATAACTTACATCATCTGTGTGCTTGAGTAAATGCAATCTTTGTAAATTTAAGCTAAAAAAATTGTGCCATAGCCCTCAGCAGTAGGAGTATTGTTTGTAATCTTGCTTGTACCACCTTTACGCTGTATTCTTTTTCCTTTTTTTGGTGCACTTCTTGAAGCAGACAAACATCATGCTTCCTCCAGAAGCGATCTCCTATGTTAAAATCAGATCTTTCTCATCGACCCTAAATATTCCGTGCTGCTTCTTTACAGGATGATGACTCTGATGACGAGAAGAAGAACCGTTACGCCAAGCGCGATGACTCTGATGATGAGAAGAAGGAGCGTTACGAGAAGCACCACCACCACCGCCGCCACAACTACGACGACTAAGCATCCAGCATGGTCTTGACCTGCTGCCATCGCCCCCACGTCTCGCTGCTACACGAATAAAGATGGTCTTGTTTCCCTTGTTGGTGCCGGATCATTCCCCTTTTTTATGAACTTGTATGACTGCAACCTAAAGTGTGCTATGTGGGTGGCTTATATGTTTGAATTATCTCCTATTTGTGTGCTTGAGGTTATGTGTTTATGTAAGTGGTTCGCTGCATGCTGTGTTTGAGACTGGGTTCTGCTTCGTTATTTGATCTTTGCTGCTGCTCCTCTTTGAACTATTGGAACTTGCTAGGCTTGAATATCCCATATCCATTGTAGACTTAGTGCTGCCATTGTTCTGTTTGGCGCCACAGCCCAGCCATGCGATTTTTTGTCCAAAAGGACCATCTGCCGAGTCGAATTGACAAAAAAGACTACCTCTGAATTTTTTTTAACAAAAGAGACCAGCTAGGCCGTGGCGGCAGGCGTGGCAGCAGACACCTCTGAATTTTTTTGACAAAAAAGACCAGCTAGGCCGTGGCGGCAGGCGCGGCAGCAGACACGTGACACCTGCCGCCACGCGAGGAGGCGGCAGAACCTGCCGCCACAACACCAGGCGGCAACCCTGAAATTACTGGAAATCCAGCGAGGCCAGCTGCGGCAATGGAACAGCCTGTGGTTGATGGGCCCTGCCCCCACACAATGTGGCGGCAGGTCTGCAGCAGCACCAGCCGGCTCTCTCGTTTTATTCTTTGTTCTTCCTATGTTGTTAGGGCATCTCCAGCCGCGTCCCCAGGAAGGCCTCCCCAGGCGTTTTTTTCGCGCCGACGCCGAAAAAACGGCCCAGTCGCGCCCCCAGGAGGCCGATTTTCGCCGACTTGGGCCGAAAACAGCGCCGGCGGACCCAGCCCGAACCCGGCTCGCTGGGGGCGCCTGGGGGCGCCGGGCGAACTGTTTTGGCGCGAAAAAGCCGCGGGCCCGCCGCGTCAGCGACATGGCTCTCTTCTCGGCTCTTTGTCGTCCGCATCGCCTCGTTTCCCGCGTGGGCGCGAGGACGAGCACGGCGTCGTGGTCCTCGACAGCGACGACGACGACGACGCCGCCGCCCCCGGACCGTCCAACCCGCCGGCGTCAACCGGGGAAGGGATGCAGCAGGGACGGCGGAGGCGTAGGTGAGGGCGGCGACGACGACGACGACGATGACGACGACGGCGACAGCGGTGACTACACGCGGTTCTACAGCCTCCTCAGCATGTAGAACCGCGTGGGCGTGCGGCGAGGCGGGCGGCGAGGGAGACGGCGGGGGTAGCCCGTGGTAGTTTCTTTCTTTTTTGCAAAATATGTTTAAGTTTGAACGAACTCGACACTGTTTGCGTTAAATTTGAGTCGTTTTTGACTTTTTTGACTAACCATGGGCGCCGCGACTGGGGGACAACACGCCCCCAGTGCGCGGTTTAGCGCCGGTGCGCCCCAGGGGATGATTTTTTGCCCCTCCTGGGGGGCCAACGGCTGGAGATGCCCTTATTGTTAGCTAGTGTGTAATAGGCACGTTTGACTGAGATTTGAATCAATTTAAAGCTTGATTTTGAAGATGATGTAGTTGAAGAAAAGATAGATCAAGGTAAGACATATCCATTTTTGTGTTTTTCGCTCACATGCATGGTGGTTTCGTACTGTATGATTAGTCTTAGAGCATCTCCAACAGCCGCGGTAAGCGCCGCGCGCAAAAATCCTGTTTGCCGCGCGCGCTTCGGCTGGTTTAGCGCAGCCGCCAACGCTGGCTCCAGCAGCCGCGCTATAATGCAGCGCGCGCGTGCCGCTCCAGCAGAGCGCAAAAATACATCGCGCGCGCGCCGCACAAACCACATATACATTTCAAAAAAGAAGAACAAAAATGATCAAACAAATAAAATAAATCAACAATAATAAATAGTTCAATTTCGTTATCATTACAACTCAAACAAATAGTTTATCGTTCAGTACAACAAATAATGCAATAAACACAACAAATAATGTAGAAATCATGATGCTCTTTGTCGTTCATACCATGCCCACCACTCTTCAATCAGATCGTTCTGAAGTTCATTGCGCGTTGCGGGACGCTGAATGGCATGATAGGAGACAATAAAACGGGCTACCCTTTCGGCCCTCCGTTGCACTCGCACGGGATGTCCCAAGAGTTCATACTGTGAGTAGTCTAAATCTTGGCCACGCTCATTCTCGATGATCATGTTGTGCATGATCACACAAGCGTGCATGATGTACCAAAGCATTTGTTGATCCCAAAATCTAGCCGGTCCTCTCACAATAGCAAATTGTGCTTGCAAAATCCCAAATGCTCTCTCCACATCTTTTCTAGCCGCCGCCTGAGCATTGTGGAAATCAAGATATTTCTTACCTTCCGGCTTTTTCAACAGCTTCACGAAGGTTTGCCACTTTGGATAGATGCCATCCGCTAGATAATAGCCATAATTGTACGTACGCCATTTGCTACAAACTGCACAGGTGGCAACTCACCGTTTGCAATCTTATTCATCAGTGGTGACCGGTTGACAACATTTATGTCATTCAAAGATTCAGGCATTCCAAAGAATGCATGCCAAATCCAAGTCTCCTGATCGGCCACAGCTTCAAGGATTATAGTGGAACCTTTTTTTGGCCATGGAATTGTCCATGCCATGCCTTTGGACAATTCTTCCAACTCCAATGCATGCAATCTATTGAGCCAAGCATGCCAGGAAAGCCGCGAGCGCTGTTCATCGCCAGTAGCCTTGCGGCGTCTTCAGTAGTGGGAGATCTCAAATACTCCTCGCCAAACACTTGCACAATTCCCACTGCAAAGCGCTTGACACACATGATGGTTTGGCTCTCACCCATAGCTAAGTGATCATCAACTAGATCAGCCGGGATACCGTATGCCAACATACGCAAAGCGGCTGTCACCTTCAGAAAGGTGCTATGCCCAAGCTCTCCGGCGGCATTCCTCCTTTGCTGGAAAAACCGGTCATGGCTCGCTAGTTTCTCTGCAATGCGCCTGAACAAGTCGGTGCTCATCCTAAACCGGCGACGAAAATACGACTCCGGGTATGTGGGATTCTCCACGAAATAGTTCTTCATCAATCTGTTATGGGCATCAATCCTATCTCTCCAAATTTTCTCTCGACCCATAACCGAACCATCGTGCTTCGGTTTTTTATTGATATGCATAGCTAGGATCATTGCAAGATCCTCCTCCTCTTCCATATCAAATTCTTCTTCGGAAGAATCAAACGACGAACTCATCTACAATGTTTAATACTATATTATAAAAACCCCAATTCAAAACATGCCCCAAATTTATGAAGTTTGAACAATACATACCTTGTACACGTTTTGTCGAACACCTTGCGGGCGCGGCGCGGCAGCGAGCGCTCGGGCGCTGTTCCTCGGACGACGGAGGCGCGCGAGCGCCGGCGGGACTAGGAGGG